CAGTTCGTGATTGACCAAGAATTGCAAGAACTGACTACAAATATAAACGAATCTGTTAAGAACTTCACTAACTGATTACGATTCAACCACGAATCCTGAAATTTGTCAATTCGTGGCAATTAGTGGGATCCGTGGTCTGTTTGAAATAGGGGCATAAGCTGGGATACATTAAAAAAAAGCAGCTGGTATTTGCAAAGATGTATGCTACAATGCAATCAAGAGTCACTGGCAAGATGGGCCAGTTGAACCATATCAGAGCTTGTTACCAAGACTACACCAACACGGAACACCTTACAAGGCTGAAAAAGAAAAGGTCAAGAACTGATGCTGACAATTTTACATATTGCATGTTGGTTGCTTCCTTTCTTTCCTTTTTTTAAGCTCTATCCTTTCTTTTCTTTTCTAGCTTTTGCCTTGAAAAAGGCTCCACCAAAGTTCATGCTGTACAACAAACTTGCATTTGCATTTATCTGTTCTTTTTTGGGACTTATGTTACTCAGCACGAGCTATGTTATTTGGCTCAATTGGAAGAAGGTACTGAAACAAAATTTTGTGTTGCACTTGCAAATTTGGGCGCTTTGATAATAAACTCCAACTGTGATCCATCTAAAATTTTGTTAAAAATTATGAACCACAAGAAAACATTCTTAAAAAACACTGAAGAGGATTCAACAGCCTTAAAACGTCAACAAGATTTTAAGTAAAGAAAAACAACCTGCAAATGGGGGAAAAAATGGTTATTCTGGGAGTAATGACAAAATTGACAAAACAATACTTTTACTTGAAGTTCAAACCAGATTATTATCAATGGCAAAGGAAATTGAAAAAAATCAATCTGTTCTCAATATAGCATCTTTTGACCCTGTCAAATTCAATATTGAGTTTACAGACCCTTTTGCCTGGAATGTAATTAGTTTTCTATGTATTACTAATAATGAATTTTAGGAGTTATAGAAGAAAATCACAGGTAACTTTGATTGGTACTGTGAAAAAGGAATGGTGAGAAGAATGATTTTACCTGTAATTTTCTTGATGATATATAAGAAACTCAAACAGAATTCTCAGAGTTTACCAGAGAGTTATCACAAAAAATAAAACATGGTCTTTTTGGTTAAATTTTGTTCACAGAGATTGCTTTTTTATACAATTCTTTATATCTTTTTGTGAGAACAGGTGATTGGAATCTAAGAAATTTTTGTTTGCAAAACCAATGAGGCAAAAATGAAGGCATGACAGGAAATTACAAGAAAGTTAGTGCCCAATTTTCAAATCAAAAGCACTAGAATAGATGACTTGACTACTTATATATTTAAATCTTCTAATTCCATCCTTCACTTAATTACTTCTTTTATAAACATAAGGAACTACATCATTATGCATAGTATATTGAATAGAACTGGAAAGATTTTCCCAGCTACACCAAAATGAAGGATGCGGAAAGAAGGAGGGAGAAAGAAGGAAGGAGGTCTCCCAACTAATGTTGACTCCATGTTGAAAACATTATCAATCTTATGTTTACAACACAACCTTCAACCTGCAATAATGATGATAATGAAGATGAAAATATATTATTTACTCTTTAAACTTATCTTTTTGCTGCTCTTTCTTCTTATATAGACTTATGTAAGTACCTTTTAACACTAATACCATCACTGTGCATAAAGGCAGTATTTTTAAAATGCAAAGTGGGATGCTGAAGCTATTTAATATTCAAATAAATGAGTAGCAAACCTAAAATAAGAACCCCATTATTCAGGGAATCAAGTTACGTGCTTACAAGCACAAATCACATTAAAAAAAAAAAATCAAAATTAAGGAGCATGGAGGAGGTCATTAATGTCCATGCATGGGGAGCACACAAGAGCCAGGGTTCACTTCAAAAGATACCCTGACTACGTAGAATCGAACAAAGCTGACATGCAGCAACGTCGTAAAAAACTACGTCACAATCAGGATCTCAGAGGGTATGGATGACAGCCCATAGCTGTGGAAAGAGATGGGAGATACAATAATAGCCTGTTCAGCAGAGGGAACAAAACAGCACAGCCAGCCACTCAGACTGTGTACACTGTAGCAGAGAATGTGACCAGCCAGCCACTCAGACTGTGTACACTGTAGCAGAGAATGTGACCAGCCAGAAGGATGTTATTGGTGTTTACTCTGGTACTTAAAAGTTGAGGGGAAGATGTCTCTTGTCCAGATCACAGTGGAGTGTACACAGCCAATCTACAAGAAGACTAAAGCAATCACAGCCCATTACAAATCAATAAAACAGCCTAACAAAAACTAATAAATTTTAATTGCACAGTAATAGTTCTATTAAATCTGTCAAGCAATAATCATGTTATTGTATCATGATTTAAATATTATGAATATTTGATTTTATGTGTATGACTGTAACTTTTCTTAAACAAACAACTTTCAACACTATTACTACTATCTTACTTGCAGTGACAATGAACAACCTAACAGAAGCTGATAATGAGGCAGATGGCTTTGGTACAATAGACCTTAGCTGGTTGGAGAGAAGTCAAGGTGAGTATTTTTTTATAATGTGCACTGCATGTTATAATAATAATAATAATTATTATTATTATTAATTATAATAATAATTATTATAGCATTGGGGACAAGTTTAACCACTGATGGGGACAGCCGAGCCCAGCTGCATGTGACAATGTTGAAAATTTTTGGGACACATGACACTTTACCAAATCTCTGAAAAAGCACCATTTTCTGGTCATTTACTTTTAGAACACAGTGTCTTAGAAAAAAAAGCTGGTTTTACGGTGAAAGGGCATTTATGATATATGCACCCAAAGTTTGGAACACCTTACCCTCTGGAATACGAGCAGCAGGTGACATAGATACTTTTAAAAAGCTTTTGAAGACTCATATTTTTAGAATAGCCTATCAGTAACTATCATATAGTTAGTTTTTAGTTTTTAATAAGGTGTACTGTAATTTTATGATTAATTTTAAATGTTGTCACTTTAGTTTCTTATCATTTTTGAATATGAAATAATTTGTTCTTTAAATTAGTTCTTAGTCCTTTAAAATTGTAATGTGTTCTTATACTAGTATTGTGATATTTAGCTCTTTTAAGTGAATGCTGTAAGGCGCATTGAGATTTTTAATGGAATGCGCCATAGAAAAATAAATTATTATTATTATTATTATTATTATTAAGTGTTTCCAGGAAAAACAAAATACAATAGAGACAAAATGCAAAAATGTTTTGCTCAGTGCATAGCAATGTGCTGCTATTCTGAATTTGATGCTTGCTTTAGAGCAAATAAAGGGAACATAGAGTTGACTAAAAGAGCACCGAGTTACGTCATTGACTATATATAGTTAGTTGTTACAGTAGTGATTGTCAAAATTGTTAAAGTACTCATAAAAATGTAAAGGTGGCTCAGAAACTATTTCCCCTGTTTTTCATCTTTCTCCAGGAGGCTCTGGCCTGGGAAGCCAAAGCAGAAGATATTTTCAAGGCACATGGAATTTACAAGATCCACTCCAGCATCCAACCAACATCCAATGCCACAAATTAATGTACACATACACGGATATGCGTTCTATAGGCAAAAGGTGTAACAGCTGATATTTTCCTATTTCATGATGTAAATTACATTTTTCAGAGGACTCAAGAATGGACATGGTGATAGATGTGGAAAATGAAAAAACTTTTATGTTTGAAGAGACTGGTAGAGATTGAAGAAGAAAAATTNTTTAAATTAGTTCTTAGTCCTTTAAAATTGTAATGTGTTCTTATACTAGTATTGTGATATTTAGCTCTTTTAAGTGAATGCTGTAAGGCGCATTGAGATTTTTAATGGAATGCGCCATAGAAAAATAAATTATTATTATTATTATTATTAAGTGTTTCCAGGAAAAACAAAATACAATAGAGACAAAATGCAAAAATGTTTTGCTCAGTGCATAGCAATGTGCTGCTATTCTGAATTTGATGCTTGCTTTAGAGCAAATAAAGGGAACATAGAGTTGACTAAAAGAGCACCGAGTTACGTCATTGACTATATATAGTTAGTTGTTACAGTAGTGATTGTCAAAATTGTTAAAGTACTCATAAAAATGTAAAGGTGGCTCAGAAACTATTTCCCCTGTTTTTCATCTTTCTCCAGGAGGCTCTGGCCTGGGAAGCCAAAGCAGAAGATATTTTCAAGGCACATGGAATTTACAAGATCCAATGCCACAAATTAATGTACACATACACGGATATGCGTTCTATAGGCAAAAGGTGTAACAGCTGATATTTTCCTATTTCATGATGTAAATTACATTTTTCAGAGGACTCAAGAATGGACATGGTGATAGATGTGGAAAATGAAAAAACTTTTATGTTTGAAGAGACTGGTAGAGATTGAAGAAGAAAAACTGAAATTGAAGAAAGAAGTTTTTTAATTCAGAAAGAGAAAATGGGAGGTAAATTTGCCCAAATCGATTTACAGTCAATTTAAATTAAATGCCAATAAATAGTTAGTTACATGAACATGGCTCCTAGTTGTTTCATTCAATAACTTGCAAAATGAAGGACTTCAAAATCAAATAAAATATCCCGTGACCATTTTACTCAGGCAATGAGACCATAAAACCAAATATTACTAATTTTTATTAGAGCTTTTATCAAACAGACTCATGGAGGTCTCATATCCCCATTGCAGAACTATGCCATGTTTATGATGTAAAGAAAAAATATTAAAAATCATGAAAATATTTTGTATTGAACTTTGTCCTTTTTAATTTCTAATGGATCAGAAGTGTTTTTATATAGACAAATATGTTTGAAGAGACTGGTGGAGATTGAAGAGGAAAAATTGAAATTGAAGAAAGAAGTGTTTGAATTCAGAAAGAGAAAATGGGAGGCAAAA